GGCAGAACTGCCCTGCTGGCATTCCAAATTGAACATTTTACATTCTCGGGTAGGCTGCCGCGCGGGAATGAGAGATTCCTTCAATGCATGAAGGTGAACTCCAATAGTAAAATATCATCGCTTCGATAGCAATTTCATTTTGATCATCACACGCTCCATTCAATCTAGCAGCGTAGACGCAACAAAATGCAAGAAATGCCAACTTGTACAACAATTGAGATTACAACGAATATACTAGTCAATGACAACTAACAAATTGCCAAAACATTACGATCAATTCACATTACTTCGAGAGCAAGTAAAAAGCGACAAGATCTAAAAGATCTAGTGGCTAAAAGCAACACCCCAATTTATAATTAGGTCTAGGGCTGGACAAAACTCCCGATTCGAACCGACCGAACCGAACTCGACAGTTCTTCTCAAGTTAAATACCCGAACGGGTATTTGAATCAAGAACCGACGGGCATGGTTCGGTTCTAGGCCAAGACCCGAAGAAATCGAATAAGAACCGAATCTCCATCATTTTTTTAATTAATTTATTTTAAATAAGCAAAATTATTTTATTTTTTCTAAATAAATTTGTTAACTAGTTAATTTAGTTCAAACCACAAAATATGATTTTCTTATTTCTAATTTTCAGTTCAAAATTAACTTAATTAAATTGACCTCAATTTTATCTAAAATCTGTTATTCTACTGTAGTGTCGTTTCTACCAGAGAAAATTGAATTAAAGTTCTACAACATCTCTCTTTATTATTTTGAACTCTCTATCTTTCTCTTTCTGTGATTTTAATAATCAAATTTATGAAAAATTCAGCAAAGAGAGATGTGAAACACATAAAATTGAATTACGTTATTTTGTAAGAGCTAATATTGAACATATCATTAATTAAATTAACATAACTTTGTATATATACGGAACCGAATGGAACCGAACCGGACCGAACCGAACCGAATGGAACCGAACGATTCCGTGATTAAATTTGGACCCGACGGTTGCACTTACTAAATACCCGAAAAATTTGAATTGGTTCGGTTCTAACGATAACCGAACCGAACTGGACCATGTCCAGCCCTAATCAGGTCCTAGTCACAACCTATTTAAATTGTCTCAATAGCAACGAGAATCGAACCGAACCGGACCATATCCAAGCCTAATCAGGTCCTAGTCACAACCTATTTAAATTGTCTCAATAGCAAAGTCCAGGCTAATAACCACAAGTCATCAAACAACAAGAATAGTGAGACATATTTGATTTGGATAAAAATTAGATTTTTAGTAAATTTTGAAAGAATTGATGAAATGTGATTAAAAATTACGTAAAAGTTATGGGTCTCATTAAATATGTGATTGAGAATAAGTTTGAAGAAAAATGAGTTTTAAAACATAAGGGTCAAAAAAGCTTGTATAAGAATATTTAAACTGAAGATTATTTCGAGTGTAAATACATATGTCGACCAATGTATAATAATTCTATTCTGCTGAATAGCCCTAACACTGTCTTAGACGTGTGTTCAAGTGAATATCAACGACAACGACAACAACAGCAATGAAGATTCTCTTAAGATTTTGACTTTCGATGATTTTGAAATCCCACGCAAATCTTTTTACTTTTTTTTTTTTCAAATAAGGCTGCTTGAAATCTTCAATTTTTAATATATTTATTCTTTTGCATTTTAAAATTGGTTATTTTTTGTAATATTCATCAACAACATAATTCCTTTACAACTTGATGTCCTTGTCGAAGTTCCTGCTTTGTTTCCTTTTTCTAATAATTCCGTTAAAATGGGTTTGAAAATCAATACAAAATCTATACAACCAAAAATTGTGGCTCTCATCACCGGTTACCCCCATCAAGGTTAAATTTCTTAATTTAAAAAAAAAATTATTGTCTGAAATTTAAAAATAACAAATGTAAAAAATTTTAAAGAAATATTTTTGACACAAAACCTCGGACTAGTAGCAGAATTTAAGGTACAGTTACCAGCCACTGTAATTGTTGGGCCTGTTTACTCAGGGTAGATTGGCCTGTCAGCAAAGGCGGGTCAGCCTAATGGGCAGGTTCAGACCGACCCGCTTGTTTTTCACTAAGCGCATGTTTGGCCCCAATTCATTCTCATTTTTTCCTCATTTTTTCAACTTTTTGTCAACAATAGTTGGCCCCCAATCAGAAAATCAGTCGGCTGCCTGACAAAAATTTGAGGTAGCAGCTTTTCAGACATTTTATTGAGTTTAAAATTTTTTGTCTTTCCACTTCTACCCTCCATTTGAAATGTTATTCCTTAATTGTAGCATTTTTATCAACTAGAATTTTAATTTTTAATTGAGGGCAAAACGGTCAGATAAATTCAACGGCTTGGTACCGTGTTCTTTCATTTTTGACAGTTTCTTCAACGCTGTCGCATCATCTGCCACAAACACTATAGAAAAATAAGATATTGTAGAAAAGATTGGCAAGAATGAGCATCAAACAGGCATTAAATTTTTCATGATCAAACGTACCTCTTAAAAGTTCAAGCACGACCTCGCCCTTTTTCAGGCCATCGACGCCTAAACTTGCTTTTTTCCCCCGGAGGGGGGGGGGGGGGGGGCCCCAAAAATTTTTTTTAAAGGTTTTTTTTTTTTTTTTGGGAAAAAAAACAGTTTTTTTTTGGTATTTTTTTTCCCACTTATGGTGACATGTTTTGTGCATGGATTGTCTTGTTCTAACAAAAAATGTGTATCGTGCTGAGTTTCTTGGTGTTCGGATGCTTTATACTTTTATATTTTTTAAGTCCATCGTATCGAACCAATGAAATGATTCTTAATCGTGGAACCCCTAATCATAGATCAACTTTTAAAATTTCTTTAGGCTTCAATCCTTGTCTTGATCTCCTTAGATAGTGTTAAACTACCTGAATTAGAGGAAAGTCGAGACAAAGTTTTTCAATTAATTAACATTATGAAATCCAAGAAGAATCCTTTAACTTTTCCCTTTAAAAAAAGGGGGGGGGGGGGGGGGGGGGGAAAAAAAAAAAACTTGTAATTATGGATACCATTATATAGACAATTATGTACATGTAGCACTTCCCAAAAGAAAGTTGTACATGTAATTGTTTCGAACGACAGAAACTTAATAGAGAAAGAAATAAAAGCATGGCATGACCTCAAAAGAAGGATGCCTTGTTCTTTTGTCTCATCACTTTTGACGTATTGTCTTCTCTGTGCTTTCGTTCTTGCTATAATTTTTGTGAGAATCCTAAATTTTATTTCAATTGAGTCACTTTGTTTGAATTTTTTTACTCGAAGAACGAAAATTTATTTATTTATGCCATTCCAATATCTATATCAATTTTTGGTAAGAACTAAGAACCGTGGCTAGTCTCCCAACTTGTAGAGAATTATTATCAAAATTCATTCTAGTTATAAAGTAATCACTGGAGTTTGCCTTTTATTTTATTTTAGTCTTTCAGTTAAAATCAATTAATTTTCTAATCAAATTATTGTCTCACGTTAATCTGCTCTCATAAAAATAATGAATTTCAACCGACGTTTAAAAACTGGCCTGTGCATTGACCGAGAAAAGAGAGAGGACAAAAGGGTATGATCAAACAATTATTAAGAAGAATAATTTAGAGAGTGATTCAGCCGTTCAATCAACAGAAGACAATTTTAATAATTTTCAAATAATTTTATTTTTATCTTTTTAAATGGACTAGTTGTTGTAATCTTGCCGTTCAAAATTAAAAATGGATGAAGGATGACTTAAGAAAAGAGGAAAAACGTGCCCTAAATGGTCTATGTGACCGCATAACTCATTTAGGCTTGCAATCGCATATGGATGTGCAGAAAACTTTCAGCAAACAAATGCTATAACATGCGACCGCATAGTTATAGCCTATGCGGTCACATAGTTGTAAAAAATGACCGTTGTTTGGAATTTTTTTTTTTTTTGAATTTTAGGTGATTTTCTTGGTGATCCATGCACCTGTTCATAATCAGCTGGAACCACTTCGTGTAGGGATGATCGAAGCTATATATATGATGATATTCATCCCAAAAACATATGAAAAACCATTGTATTATTCATCCAAACTTTGAAGAGACTATCACATATTCAAAACTATTTTTCATTTATTCATTTGAAGATCACTTTTGCTTTTGGTGTTCTTCTTTAAGGCTTGATCAATGCTACAAATTATTTGTCATTTTTATCCGTAAAAGATTTGTTGAAGGAAAGCAAATATTGTTTGAAAACAACGATATTATAATCGTGTTCACGTCTTCTTCGATATACATTCTTCTATTTTATTTTTATTTTTTTCTTTTTGTTTTTGCTCTCCATTGCTGTATTTGTGCAACACTAGCTCTTGATTTATTTGAGCCAATTAATTCAATTCGAGTCTAAGAGTATTGGTTTCAAATGAGTGATCAAAGCCAAATAAATTATGGAATTCAATGGTTGCCTAGCATAAAAAAAGTTTGAAGATAACATGAAATATAATCTAAGTTGATTATTGATTGCAAGCATGAAATTTGTATGAAAAAATTAAATTTTAGCACTTATTTGTATAAAAATTAGTAATTAAATATGTTTGATTGATTTAGTTTTCAACTTAAAAAATATTATACTTGTCAATTTTGTATTGGAGGATAAACGAGAGAGAGTGGATAGATAAGAAAGAGAAATAATGAGTGAATTATCTAAAAAATAAAAATCACTCATTTCTAAAGAAAATATTTTCATTGTTTTTGAGAAAAATATGACTACGTGATCAAAAATTGAAAAATATTTTATGTGAAAAAAATTGTTAATCAAACACCCCGACGGTAAGAATTTAGGTCAAAAAATAATATTTTTCATAAAAATATAGCTAATCAAACAAACGACTTTTAACCCTTTTTTGTATTTTACTAACATGTTTTCTTTGATTTTTTTACTTAACTCATAGGATTCCTTTAGCCAATAATTCAGTCGGCACAACATCATACAGAGCTCAATGACGATGACAACTGTACGAAAAGGATGAACAAATCGAGAATCATCTTTTCTTCTTTTTGGATTTTCCGTTGCAGAACAATGAACCTAAACCAAATAAAGTTACAGTACCTTTAGCAATGTAAGCGGGAGGAATGTTCAAAACTGGATTAATATGAACTCCATTGCCAAAGGATCTGCTTGAACTCTTGTTCAATGAAGGTCTTTTTGGTGCAATATTGGAATAGTTTTGGCTGAAAAGTGAAGAATTTGCAGATGGGTTTTTGCTCCTAGTTGATGGCTCTTTCAGTGAATTCTGCTTGTGAATAACTTTCGGCAATGCCGACGGCTTGGGATTCGGAGTCGAACCAGTCGAATTGCTTCTTGATAGAAACTTTAAAGATCGAAGCAATCCATTGTCAGAATTTAAACTGTAGCTTCTTCTGAACTGCCAAAATGGTTTTGTGGGTGGCTTTTCTTCTGCATCACAGGCGTTTGATAAAAATTCTATGAGAGTTTTCTTCTTTGTAACTGTGTCTGCGTTTTCATTTTGAGCAATTTTACGAGTCTCTGTAGATGGATTTGGTTTAATTGGCTGGGATTGATAGATTTCTTTTGTGGGCTCGATTTTCTTGACTTCCACAGGGAGGATTTTACCATTGGCAAAGAGTTCATCAGCAGATGAAAGTTCTAACGAGAAATTATCGCCAATTGAGAAATCAAAATCAATGAAATCCAAATCTGATTGAGGGTTGTGGGATTCTACTGGCACGAAATCTGCTTCCCTTAGATCATAAGAGAATGAGATTCTTGGACTGACAACATCTACTGCCATTTTCCCAAGGTTTTAACAGTGACAAATGGGGAATTTATACAAGAGATTAAGGCACAGGAATCATGAAAGTGTAATAGAGTTTCAGATTTGGAAGTCAAAAAGAGACAGAGAGAGAATAAATGAACTTGTGGGAATCTGCTTTTTTTCTTAGATCGTTTTGAAATTGGATTATGCCATGTATTGGTAGAGCTTTTACCATGATTTACTGAGGAGTGACATTGAGATTTACATTTTTCCCAAGTAGTTGAATTTCGGCACCGAAAGGCTAATATAGGGTAGAGCTTTGAATTTCACTTTAAACGTTCAAGGCGGAAAGGAACAATAAATAATAGAAAACTCTATAAAAATGCCATGGTTGATTCAATAATAATCATTTAGGTTAGGCGTGGGAGTAATTTAGTTTGGCTCAAATTAAAATTCAAGGTTTGGAATTAAAGGATTTCAATTGCGGTAAAGAATTGACTCGGATCAAAATTGGTTGGTTCCAGTTCAATTCTTTTTATGTTTGTCTAAAAAATTACAATTATATTACTAGAACAGAAAATGTGATATAATAATTGACATAATATTACATGACATTTCATAATTGAATTATTTTAAATAGTCAGTTGTTCCATTCAATCAACTCTCGCCACGACATCTTCTATCATTATTTTTAATTGAATTTTTCTGTCAGAGTAGCATTATTCCAAAAAAATAACCATATTAATTCATGTAAATTAACTAAATAATTTGCTTAATTAAGAGATAATAAAAAATAATTTGAGCACTTAATTATATTCTATAGTTAAGCGAGAACAGGACAAGGTCTCTCCTATGAAATTCAAGAGTAGTTAAATTTATGTAGAGCCAAATCGAGCTAAACAGACTCAAAAGTAAATAATTTATCTAGAATCAAATTGAATCGAATTTGTTGATTCTAGTCCAATTTAGGTGGTTTTGGAAAAAATATCTACCTGTAATTTTGGGAGGCCACAATTTTATTTTATTTTATTTTTTGCATCCTGCTACACAAAGTGATGTTATCTACCCCCAATATAGTGATACTATAATCATATCTAATTATACGAGTAGTTGAACAACTCATCATAAGTCTCACACATTTCTCAATTTACAAGTATTAAGACCTTGAACTACCTAAAGCCTACTTGACAATCATTAAAACAACTCTCTCTCTCTCTCTCTCTCTCTCTCTCTCTTTAAAATCATTTTCAATAATACATTCTTACAATAAACTTTTTTATCCGTAAACCCAAAATTCTTTTTTTTTTTTAATTTTTTAATCACGCATTCTCCAAAAAATTACTATTTCAAAACTTATTTTTCTTAATAAAAAAAAAATAACAGAGGTCGTCAAACAATGGCTAGATGGAGTGACGTGCTAGATTGAGTGATGTTAGCTACCACAATACAATGATGCTAGTCATATCTAATTGTACAAGTAATGAAACAGCTAGCCATAAATCTAATGTATTTTGTTATTTACGAGTATTAATACTTTGAATTACCCAAGATTCGTCTTGATACAAATTTATTAACTTTTCATTAAAATGTGTGCATGACACGAACAAATCTCAATGAAATGTAGTGTACTATCAAGATATATTTTGGTTGGTTTGAAGTGTTTGCTAATTTTCGAAGAAACACAAAATGATATGCCTATATCTGTTGGTCTCCTAAGTGTACTTGAAATCTGTCCAAGAGAAATTAACTTTTTCCTTTACATTTCACTGCCTTTGTCTGGTAAAAGAGATGCCTCAATTCATGAATGTGCCCCATTGATGTCGAAACAGACCCAAAGATATAGCAAAATGAAAGGGATGTTGAGAGTGACATTTTTCTAGTGGGCAACTTTTGCTGTAGCAATCCAAGAGTAGAAATTCTAACTGTCGGCGATAAAATTCTTTACTACGATGACACTAGAAAATTCTCGAAATCTCTGCTGGGAAAGTTATTCGTGATTAATAATGCTTTATTCTTTTATCATAATTCTCTTCTCCGACTAATTCACTTCATCATCGGAACACGGTAGACACGTCCCAAATGATGGACAAAAGCCATAAAACAAGTTTAAAGACTTGCATTTTCATTAAGCATAATAAACATAATCAACAGCAACCTATCCTTTCTTGCAAGGGAAGCAAGAAATTGTATAAAATTTGTATTTGAGTGATTTCTTTATTGCTAGCTATAATAAAAATACAAACCTAACACCGAATTGAAATAAAACGTGAAAGAATACGAAATCGAAAGAATGAAATGCAAAAAATCGAGGTAAGAGTTGAACTTTTTGTTCTTAAAATGAATTTGCCCTACACAAGTGTCAGTGGTGGATTGTCATCTTCTCCCAAGATACAACTATCAATTCTTGTGATTGCAGCATTTTGAATTACAATAATCAACTAACAACATAATGTTTTCTACTCCTTTTTGTATGAAATGGAAAAAGAATTTTGGTGCAGAAATTTGGCTATTAATTTAATGTTTATGTATGCAATGATTGCATGGAATTGGAGTGAATGAAATCATCATAGATGAGTCCAATTTATAGAGATAGAATGGCTGTAGTCGGAAAGATACAACTCAAAAATTAACTTGTCCAAGAAAAGTTCACAAGTTCATCAATCGCTCGCTGATCATTGCCTCACCGTTCGAGTGGTTTTTTTAGAAACTTGGTAGCTCGTTGAGCACGAGGTGGCCGCTCGAGCCACTGTTTATGTTTTTGAGTTTTTGTTTAATAATTTCAATAATAATGTTTATCAACCATATTTCATTCACTATTTCTAATTCATTCGGAAATAGTTTTTGATTTCCAAATATACCAACTCATCTACTTGAGGAGCTAATTGTGTTCAACCCATTTTTCGTCAAATTTGAGTAGCTGGACCCCATTCAAATACACGGTCAAAGATTGATAGAAATCACTTTTTTTACTAACTATTTTCCAACAAAAAATCTTAATGTTGGCTGGGATTTTAACATAAATAAGATAGTTCAGTATGATATTAGAAGAACACGAAGTAGCGACATCGTCCATTTTTCTAGCTTACAAAATAGGTTAGAAGTTAGAAAAAAAGTCGACCGAAGTGCATGTTTGGTAAAGCTAAATTATTTATAAGCTAACCAAACTCTTCTTTATTCACACATTCTGTAAGATCAAAAACTTTTATATACTTTTTATTTACACATTTCATAGGACCCACAACTTACAATTTAATAAAAGAAAATGGCCAAAAATTCTCAAAACGAGAATGTCTTTATCAACTTAAATCATTAGACTAAGTGGTTCAACTTAAAGAGATGAAAACATAGTAAATGTTTGGCCTCCATCCTATAAGATTTATTTTTCTATAACTCATTTTCAACCATATATTAATATTTGATGAGGCTAAAAATTTTTATTAACTTTTTAATCACATATTTGATCTATTTTTATCGAAATCTAATTTTTATCGAGAACAGAGAGGAGATAGACTGCAGACAATCCCACGTTGGAGTAGATGGAGAGAGTACATGGTGACAGTGTCTCTATATCTCAATCCTTGCTGGCCTTTTTTCATTATTCGTGAACAAATCATGTTACCTGCCCACTAAGATCACGTGCCATGGAGACATATTTGGTACCGCTTAGAAATTTTATTACAAGTGACGTTGAAGTGACAAAGGGTGTGGGGGTGTAATGCCACTGCAAATGCTGTGTACTACTTCCATTTACATCCAATTCCATTCTCTGATTCAACTGTTCTCTGTTGAATATATTCCCAACATATTGACTGAGGAGGAGGTAGAAACTAAGAATTGAGATCTAACCTTCTTCCTCTCTATTTCACATTTATTTCGATTCTTTTTCCTTTCTTTTCTTCGTTGGTATATGATTCGACCATGTATTCGACAGGGGCCCATCTTGTGCAAGCAAGACCTTGAATCATACAATGAAGAGTTGTCTAAAAGCAAAGGAGATTTGGAGGATGTTGAATCCATTTGGAATAAACTTTAGTGAAAAAAGAAGATGCCATCATTAATATCGTTCACGTAACTCTCTTTTTTTCGCATTATGTTGATAATGTGGAAAAGTAGAAATTTAGAAAATTTCGAAAGATAATCCCTTCAACCACCTCAATCATATAAGGCATATATAGAAGTTGGCTCAGGGCATACACCATGCTTTCTTAATGGACCATATGGCTTCAATTCTCTAAGAAGCAAAATAATCATTTAGCTTTATCCTCCCTTCAAGTAAAATCAAACTCAATACATATGGATGCTCCCAAGAAAACTTGAGTTTGACAAGAATTGGATGTTGGATTCGGGATGACTAAGGAAAATGGATGACAAATTTTATGGGGAATATTGGACATGCATCGAGCCTAAGGGCCGAATTTGGGATATTTTCGTTGGTTGTCGCTCATTAAGGATAAAAAGAAACGCATTACTTGAAAGAGATTCAACTGAGAAAATATATTTACTATCAGATATAGAGTTTACTCAAAATTTGAATAGAGTTCTTGAAAATTGTTGCGTCTTGCTTTTAAGACTTAACTATGAGATATTGCACATGTTAAAACTAGAAAATAGTTACACATATCACCTTACAAACTTGGAAGAATTCAGAATAACAATCTTGTTTGGATAAATCACTTGTTCATTAATTTTGTTTTGTTAATTAGCAGATTTGATTGGATTCTTAACTAGAATGTTTTATTTCTTTGCTTTCTTCACGTGTATCCAAAAAAATAAAAAAAAATAAAAATCAACTAGTCCTTTATTTATTTCACAGTTAGTCCTTAATTTATTGTTCGAATAGTTAGTTTATTTTCTATTTTTAAAATCAACTAGTTCTCCATGTTTTGTTATTTATAATTTATTTCACAATATCTTTAATAATTCAAATAACTTAAAAGTCATATTAATTAGTTGCGTGTTCCTCATAAAAAATATGTTTTACTTTAAATTTTTAGTCACTTGAGAGTTGAGAGGCAAACTTGGCTTTATAAAGTTATAAAATGATAATGACCAAATTGCTATTTCTCAAATGTTGAAAATCAACTTATTATTTGATCAATAATAAGTTATAAGTGGCTTGAGTGTTTGAGCTAAACTTATTTCCTTAGTGCTGAATGCTTGAGGTACCGCGCCACCTCTGACAAGTTTTTTTTTTTAATTTCTATGTAAAATAGCAAAAAATGTGAAATGTTGGGTTAAACTTGTAAATGTGTTGAATATATGTAATTTTCCATAAATATTGAATCTGACAACTACCTTATTAT